AGATAGAGCAGAATTTCTTTTGATCGAGATTACAAAAAGTTATCACCAACCTTTCTCTCCCCAGTTTTTTTTTTCCCACGATAAGAGGGAATTTCTCTTGGTTGAAAATATAACATGTTATTGCCCACATTTCTCAGCCATGTTTTTTTCCTCAAGATATGATGGAAGTTTTTCTGATTGAGAATGTAAGATGTTAATGCAAACTTTTCCCTGTCATGCTTACAAAAATTTTTTTTTACAGTACAGCAGAATTTTTCTTGATAGAGATTGTAAGACATTTTTGCTAACTTTTTAAATTTGTGCTCTTTTTCCACAATACGGCAGAATTTCTTTTAAATAAGAATCTAAGAAGTATGTAGAATTGTACATCTTTTTCTAGAATGAGAATGTATGAATTTCTTGTAAATCTGTTGCAGTGAAGGACACATAGTCCGATAAAGGATTTCTCGTGAATGAGAATGACAAACAGTCATGGCGTTGTGCGAATCTAGGTCATGTTGACTTTTAGAAAAGATTTAATATTCAACAAATACACCAATGTTGAATGATTTGAGAAGTTATCACTCCAACAGTTTTTACTTTCCACTTTCCGATAAGTTATTATTGTCAGATAGCAGGTTTTCTTTCAAACAGGGAATTGTCAATTGTTACTTGTCTCAGATTAGAAGCATCAACATAAGTTTACCTTTATAATCTATTTTTTTTCTTTCTTTCTTTTCACACTTCTCCCCTCCAGGAGAACGACTTTGTCGCGTTCATGAACGACCCTCTGAACCCCGCCCCGACCCCGGCCCCTCCCGCGGTCCAGTCGATGGACGAGCAGTGGCGGGACTTTGCGGGCTACGAGAGCCTGGCACTCCTCAGTGCCTCCAACTTTGAACTGGTGGTGGCGGAGAGCTCCCAGCTGCTGGTCATGTTTTACGCACCGTGTAAGTGTAGCGGCTGTTGTGTCCCTCGCTTGTGCATCTGAGTCTTCTCTCACTTAGGGTAGTAAAAAATATCTTTCGAGATAATTTCTTTTTTTAAATTCAAAATTAAAAAACAGTTGTTTTTTTTTGGTATGTTACATGTCTACGTCTACACCATGTAGCTTGTAAAAAAGCCATAATATTATTGTAAAACAAGAACAACAAATTATAGCTGTAAATGAATCAGGGCTCAAGAAATGACAGTGTTAGGGGTTTATAACAGCACAATAAAAAATATAACCCGCATAAACGACTAAACGTAAGGTGTAAACCTTGGAGAGACTACTGTATGCCATTTGTGTGTGTGTGTGTGTGACTTGAATTTGCGATTTTTGAGATTTTAAAAGAAATTTGCAAATTCAAGTCGTTCTTGAAATGTTAAAAGGTTTGCTACTACATTGAAACACAGGACACTAAGCGACTCATGTAGCAAACTCAAAATGTTTGTGAAAGATGAAATGGGCAAAATCGAAGAAAAAAAGAGTGCGCAATAAGTACCTGGTGTACAGTATGTATAGATGATGATTTCCGGATATAGAAGGCAGTGTGTTTGCTATTTTTTAACATTTAAAAAAAAGTTTAAAAAAAGTATTGATTTCATAGTCAAGCTCGGTTTCAAATTCACCCCCTTTATCTTTTGTGATATGTCTGGTTTTTTTAAGCTTTAACATGATCCTCTTCTACTTCACGCCAGTATGACTTTTGTCCTAATTAGTTCTTGGCGAAACATATCAGATCTTTTGACTAGCTTTCTACTGTGCGGGTGGTTGGAGGGTACCATTGGTAGGTCCTACATCCTTTCTTGCCCCTCTTTTCGTGCGCTATTTTTCTGTCCACCTCAGTTTTTCCGGGCACTGCAAGCATGGTCGTCATTGCATCAATGTGTTTGTCTTAACTCGAAACAAAGCTGTAAACTGCAACTTAATTCCATTCAGGTTGTTAAAGGGTGTCGTTGGTAGGTCTTACTTCTTTACTTCTTACTACTTATAATAATAATAATAATAAATTGCATTTATATAGCGCATTTCCACAAAGAAGTGCTCAAAGCGCTATACAATAATACAAAGAACATATGAAGCGCACAGCTCGTATAATAATCATCTTTCTCTCTCTCTCTCTTTCACTAGTCTGTCTCTGTCTCTGTCTCTGTCTCTGTCTGTCTCTCTGTCTCTCTCTCTCTCTCTTTCTCTCTCTCTCTCTCTCTCTCTCTCTCTCTCTCTCTCTCTCTCTCTCTCTTTTTAAATTAAAAAAATGGCGGCTCACGTGGAAAGAAACAATGAGAAGCACTTATGTTGAAAAGCTTGAATCATTATTAAATGAAGAACATGATATGTTTTTGTCATATTTAAGTCTCAATGATGTCGACTCTGCCTGTAATGTTTTACAACAATGCATTAAAATATCAGCAGGAGACATGCAAACCAATAAGCAAAAGAAAGGAAAGCATAGTAAGCTTCATCAACCATTGTGGTGGGATAACGAATGTGAAAGGCTAAAGAGAGTAAAATATCTTCACCTCCACGATTTCCACAGAACAAACAGCTCAAATGATCTGGATAAATTCCTTGAAGCAAAGAAAGACTTTAAGGAGATGTGTGCGTTAAAAAAGAAAATCTGTGATGCCCAGACAGTAGAAAGTTTAAAACAAGACCTTACTGATAAACGATCAAAATCATTTTGGCAAAAGGTTAATAAAATGAAGCGTACTCATGGCTCATTTAATGCGGCTAAGGCCACTCTCTCTCTCTCTCTCTCTCTCTCTCTCTCCCTCTCTCTCTTTCGCCAGTACAACCTTGAGTAAAAACAATCCCACAAAGCTTACCCAGACACACTCGCACACATTGATGAATTCACACAGTCATAAATTCGTACAGAACAGAACGGCCTGAATAAACTATACTGAGAGAACATAATAATATTTGTATTGGGAATGTCGGAAATTACAGATTGAAGCTGAACTGAAACAAATGAGTTTTAAGTGCTGATTTAAATTTTGATAAAGTGGTGGACTCCCGTAGATGAGCTGGTAAAGCGTTCCACAAGGAGGGGGCGTGGTGTGAAAAAGCTCTCCCTCCGAGTCTCTGACTTTTGCTTTGGACTTGTCTTTAAAGTCTTTTCGTCGCCAATCTTGAAGGCCGAGATGGTATATATTCGATGACCATGTCACAAAGATATGATGGTGCAATGTTGTTGACGCACTTCAAACAAAGGACCTTTGATGTTTCTGTTTTTCTGTCTGTATTCTACTCTAAATGACCTATTGTATTAATGTGCTTCTCTTCTACTCAAACACTCAAAACTTCGTTCATCACCTTGTAAACAGTTCCTGTCTGTCTTCTGTCCCCAGGGTGTGGACATTGTAAGAAGATGAAGCCAGCCTATGCTGAAGCAGCTGCTATAGTGGAGAGGGAAGGGGTGAGTCAATGATAATTATAACTGCTTTTATGCAGCGAATATCCATGCCCAACAGCATGCTTAATGCACCGAGAAAACATTACTTAAGGAAAAGATGGAGGATTTTTGAGGAATGTGTCATTGAGGATGTTACAGAGGTGCTGATTTTCTGGATGAATCTGTAAATCCAGATTTCTGAAATTTTCCATCTTATGTAGTGTGTTCCTGCTTATACATGTACCATTTTAATCTCTTTGTACCTGTCATATGACAATATCTCGACACAAGATGCCTTAGACAATAGAATGAGTAAGTTTTGGGTTTCCAAGCGTCCGTTTCCATGGGTTCCGAAAAAGTTAAGGATTTTTATTATAGCTAGTTGGCACCTCTGATGTTCATTTTTTACAATTGAAGGTGAGTAAAGTGTTTCTCATTGAGTGTTCTTTTTTAAAGCATTTATCTTTGAGTGTGTTTATTATTTTTTTTATTTTGATAGAGGATGAGTAAATAATTTCCCATTGTGAGTGTTATTTTTTTTTTTTTACGGTGGTAAAATATTTCTCTTTGAATATGTTATAAAAAATAATTTTTTAAAAAATGGAGAATGGATAAGAATTTGTCATCGTACATTCTCACATTTTACTTTTCCGTTTGCAGCTGGGTACTTTGGGAGCTGTAGATGTCACAGTGGATGGAGATCTGGGCTCTCAGTACAACGTCAAGGGATTCCCAACCTGTAAGTACTGCAGGACTCTGTCTGGTCACCGCATATTAGATTGAGCGGGTAACGGACGCCCATACAAGCGGACCGCGAGCCTCAAGAGATTTAGTTTTTTGGGTCTGCTCCACAATTTTATTCTCTCAGCGAGCGGACGAACTCTAGCCTAGCAGACGAGAGCGATTGGACTGTGAACCTCAAGTCAGTTCGTTTCTTGGGTCTGCTCCACAATTTCATTCACTGAGCGGGCGGGCAGGCGAACGGACGAACTCAAGCAGACTATATACTCGACGCGAGGTTAGGCCCATCATCTATTGTTTGTTAATTAAGTCTAATGTTTCAAGCCACTATCGGTGCCCTGGTGTGAGAGAGGCTGATGACGTAATGCTATGTGTGTAACCTTTCACCTCGTGTGAGGGTCACACTGCGTACATTCCAATTTATCGCGAATGCGAAGTTAAAAAAATTCCCAAAGGACTTTTTTTTTGTTAGTGGGGGGGAGAGAAATTTCCGCCATAAATGTCTAGCTACAATATATGGGGCAGGAGGGTGAAATTTTTTTCTTTTGAGCTCCACGGATTCGCTTCCGTAGGGGGGGGGGGGTTGTAAGTACTATGCAATGGAAGGTGTCACTCCCCATCCATTCGCGCACTGAATAAACTGTTGTCTCTGCGTTTGATGTGTAGCGAGTTGCGAACGAACCTTCACAAGTGGATGGCTCGTTACCCCATCTGCTCATTTGTGAGTAGTACCTGCACACCGTTCATTACTCACGATCACGGACACTGATTTAGCGAGCCTGACCCAACTCTGACACATATCGCGACCTCAGTGCTTTCTGTCATATCTCCATTTTTTATAACAGTGGGTCACATTTTCACTGTTATTAAAAATGGAGATACAAGAAAGCACTTGGATCATGATATATGTGCCAGAATCTAGACAATAAAGATGTATCTTTTCTTATCTTCTATTGACTGACTGTTGAGTGTAAGATTCAACCGTACGCCTTTGTGAAAAGTGATGTATGATGGAGTCTTACACAGAGCAGTTAATTCGTGTTTTTGTATGTACTTGTGTTTGGTCAACCCTTCTATATGGCTGTGAATGCTGGACAATCACTAAAGACAGTGAAAATAAAATAGAAGCAACAGAAATGTGGTTTCTTAGGAGACTGCTAAGAGTATCGTGGAAGGAAAAGAAATCAAATGAGGTAGTGCTTGATGAAGCCCACGTGGGACGCTCAATGTTAAAAACAATCAGGAAACGACAAATGTAGTTTTAGGGACACATAAATAGACATAAGGGTCTTGAACACCTAGCTCTCACTCTCAAAATTGAGGGCAAGTGAGGCTTGGGAAGGCCCAGAACTACATACTTAGGGAACCGAAACAAATGGATAACAGGGAAAGATCAGGGAAACATAGCTTTTTTGAGAGCATCCGAGCAAAGGAATGAATGGAGAACCATGATCGCCGATGTCTGTCGCTGATCTGGCACTGGATGATGATGATGTATGTACTTATTTGTCTTACGACATGGTGGAATCGGGCGTTACTCAATTTTTGGGCGTATGTAGTTTTTGGTATCATCTTGAAGCCTCTTAATTTGCCTTGCTTTTGATGAAAAAATATGTGTGGAATAGAAATTGAGATATTTGTGATTAAAGATGGGGGGAGGGGGGGGGGAGAGCTTGTGTCACTGGATAAACTAGGGAGAAAATGGCTATCAAAGTTTGGTTACTTCCAAAGCTTGAGTGTTCGTGGAACCTCTATATTTACACTTTTTTTGCCTTTGATTAATGTGTTTCAGTAAAATCTAATAATGATAATAATAGATAGCATTTGTATAGCGCATATCCCCGCTCATCAGCAGGCTCTATGCGCTTTACACTATATTATTACCCCAGCAGACCATAGAACACTGCGAAACATTCTCAGCTTCCCGGGAAGCATACAGTGCAAGCACCTGATTAAGCGCTCAAACACTTACAAACTGACAAGATCTTTCGCTGTCTATAGCTGGGTACCCATTCCCACCTGGGTGAAGTGAGGAAAATTCATGTAAAGTGCCTTTCCCAAGGACACAACGTCGGGCCCCTGACGGGATTCGAACCCATGACCTTACGGTTGCGAGTCCGAGAGCCTAACCACTAGGCCACCGACGCCACATATGCTGGAATGCGTTTTAAAATGAACATATTATAAGATGTAGAGCCCCCCCCAAAATTTTTCTTTGCTTGTTTGATTTAATTATTTTGACAATTGCCTGATTTCGCCGTGGTCATAATTGTTGACTTGGGCATAAAACATGAACATCTTCTTAGATACAAGGAATCGTAATACATCCCTCTTGTTTTCTCTGTTTCATCATCACTTCCTCTGTCCTGTCGCTCTGTGTAGTTAACTTTTGTTTCCTGCTTCACTAGAGACATTTTTATAAGAATTCTCTCATGTGGGGAAATATGGGGGTGACAGTGGCCTGTACAGTTTGTTACATTTATTATTTCAGTGGTTGTGTCCTATAGTAAGCCCAGTAAGTGGTGGCCTTGTGGTTAGGCTACCGGACTGGTTCGGGGTTCAAGCTGCGGGCCCGATGTTGTGTCCTTGGGAAAGGCATTTTACACAAATTTTCCCCACTTCACCCGCATGAAAATGGGTACCCAGCTATAGACAGTGAAAGATCTTGTCAGTTTGTTAGTTAGTATTTGAGCGCTTAACCAGCTGCTTGCACTGTATGCTTCCCAGGAAGCTGAGAATGTTTCTGAGTGTGCTATGGTTTGCTGGGGTAATAATATGGTGTAAAGCACATAGAGCTTGCTTTTGAGTGGGGACATGCGCTATACAAATGCTATTTATTATTATTATTAAGTAAACATCTCTTAAATATAAGGACAATTTTACAAACACGCCAGTGCTAGTCACCACTGTGCAGCTCCCTGGTTTCGAGCCAGGGTTACTGTCTCTTATTCAAGGGCACACACCCTTGTGAAACGCACGCTTAACCCTATCTCTGTACGTCTAGTTTTACTATCGTACCCATACGACGTGGGGAACTCTGTGCCACCACTTTCAAAGAGGAAATTTACTGGTTAATCCGACCCGTACGCTTTGCATAGCGCTCTGTCAAAATGATTTTTTGAGAAATACTGAAAGTTTCAAAGAGATCTTCGTACTAGAAGTTTTCTAAATAAATGTGAAGAATACAACCTCAGGGGTACAAAATGACCCCAGGGCGTACAGATAGGGTTAAAACATCTTTGTTTTGTTGGTATGCTTCTGTTTTTACTTGAAGACATGAAAGAAATTTCTGGCGTCTGTTGTAGGTTGGTAGGCTACGGAACTCATAATTGTGAGGTTGCAGGTTTGGAGGTTCAAGGCTCATCTTAGTCTGACATTGTGCCCTTGGGAAAGGGACTTCAAAACCAATTTTCCCATTTGGGTCAGTCCTGATGATGGATGTTAAATTTGGAAGTCTCGCTTCATGAATAAATTTATCGTGCTACTAGGGGAACTTAGGCCTAACTTCCTGTTATTGACCAACGCGCTAGATTGCCCGCTAAACAGCCAAATAGACCACAGTCGGGAACCCATTTCCACCGAGATGAACTGAAATATATGAAATTGCTTTTCCCAAGGACACAGGGCCAGGTCACTGACGGGATTTGAACTCATGACATTATGGTTGTGAGTCCAAAACCTAACTACTCATCTCTACCACAATCAATACATGTAATATTGTTGTCTCTGTGGATTTCTGAAAAACTGCATGGGATTCCCTATGTTGCACTGGGGTTGTTTGCCATTATTGTATTTAATAAGACAAAAGTAAAAACTCCGTTTCTTGATGAAGAAGGTTGATTTAATAAGAAAATGATATGAGGTCTGCCCTCTCTGGCTTCACTGACAAGACTAAATCATAATGAGCATGAGTACATGTGATTAAAACAGGAAGGAGGATTGAGTAAAGATCACTAAGATCAGACAATCTTTGTTGTGAGGGTAGATAAAATAAAAGTACAATTACATGGACATAATTCAACTTAATCATGTTAATATAGGGACCAACAATCCAGGATTTATTGTTTCCCTTCTATATGTTGATAAGCAATCAAATAGTCTAACACCCTACAGATTAGTTGTGTTGGCATGTGGCCTGCTCACCAGGAATCTTCTATGTTTTAAAATGCTAATTTTGTCATGTTATGTTTGAGTTGGAATGTTGTTGGTAGTTTTCACACTGGCTAAAATCAGTAATTTGTGGGTGGTTGGCGGGTGCTCTGTTGTAGTTTGTCCCTTTTTTCCTATCAAAGATATGTGGTCCCTATCTCTCCTCCTTCCCAACTTTGTACGTTACTCTGCAGTAACACGTTTGGTAAATGGCACTGAGATATGACATATTTGTTTTGCAAGTGCTGTAAAACTTAAAACTAAAAATTAATAATTTCTTTGATTTTTTTTTCTTTTTCAGTGAAATTTTTCAAGTGAGTACAATATGTGTTGTGTTGGTGTTGTGTTTGTGTTTGTGTTTTGTGGGTGCCCTAGTGTGGTCAGCCCCTTTTATTTCTTTTCAATGTTTCTTTTGCCCTTGTTTGTTTCTAGAAGAATGTGACAGTTATTGTGATAACTGTTTGTTAACTATGAGTCCACGTCAAAGTCAGCATCACTGAGTGGGTTGTTGGCGGGTGCTCTGGTGTGGTTTGCTTTTTCCTTCCTATGAAACATCTATCGTCCTTATCTCCCCTTCTTCTTTTTTATCTATGTTACTCTCTTTTGAAACCTCTAATCTTCTGGCACTCATATGGCCTTATGCAGTTGTGAGCGCCATTAAACCTCTACTAAAACTAAAGCAGCATCACTGACAATACAACAGCAGTGATAACAGCAACATCAAGAACTACTACAATGAAAACAGCAACGGCAGCAACATCAACAACTACATTGACAACAAGAACATTAACATTTAATAATGACTGAAGGAACTGCAAAATTAACAGTGACTACAACAATGGCAACAGCAACATCAATAACAACATTGACAACAAGAACATTAACATTTAATAATGACTGGAAGAACTGCAAAATTAACAGTGACTACAACAATGGCAACAGCAACATCGATATAACAATATTGTCAATGACAATTGCCACATCAGCTACAACAACAGCTGCAACATTAACAATGACGACGACAACAACACATCAACAGCAACAATGAGAACAGCATCGACAATGACAATATCAGCTGCACCATCAACTTGTTCTTGTCCTGTGTGGCTTTGTGGACATGGATTTTATAAGATTATTGCTCCACACGCACATTTGGGTGAAATTTTTATCTTGTCTGTCTGTCTGTCTATCTGTCTGTCTGTCTGTCTGTCTGTCTGTCTGTCTGTCTGTCTGCCTGCCTGCCTGTCTATCTGTCTGTCTGTCTGTCTGTCTGTCTGTCTGTCTGTTTGTCTGTCTGTCTGTCTGTCATTCACTGTAAACGAGAAACGAGTTGTGTGTAGATATATATAATCTGAAAGTCTAATTTATGATTGGTGGATGCTCTATCTGGTGTGGTCTGCTCCTTCTTTCCCAAGAAAAATTTGTCGTCCTTATCTCTCCTTTTTTGTGTGTTTGTTACAGTAAGTTACTCTCTTGTAATGCCTTTAATCTTTGGTACTTATTGACCTAATGTGTTACAAGTGCCGTAAAACGGCCACTAAAACTAAAATAGAAGCTCACTAGCCGGGAAATTACGATGAATGTTGAAAGGAACAAAAATGATGATCTTTCTGTGGGCTACTTAGTCCCTGTTAGATAAAGGCAATATTGTATTAGGTAAATGAATTTAAAAGAAATGAATGTACACATAAATCAAATGGAATTCAGACAAAACGCTGAGTTCACTGAAAAGTTCGAACCGACAAGCGTTAAACAGATTACATAAAGAGAGAGATAGAGAAGAAGGACAACATAAGGGAAAAATCTAACTTTGACGTTTTAATGTTAAAAGCTCTTCACCATAAAACAGTCAGTGAAAATCTTTAACACTGACATGAAAACGAAAAGAATGGAAATAAAAGCGTGTTGCTCTTTTTTATATTAAATATTATTTGGTTACAGCATGATTGAAAGAAGTCTGGACTTGATCTTACTCTCTTTCAAACAAGAACAATTAATACATTATCTAGATGCTTCAATAAAAGTCAGAAAAAAAAGCCAGGCAAATGGTAGCACCATTACTAATATAAAAAAAAAAGCATTTACAGAATACAAAAAAAGTAACCATCATTTCAGCCAATAGCACAAAGGTATTGAGCATGCTTTTCATGGTTCCGAAGAAGCATAAAAAAGTCAAGCTTTTTAAACTCTCTAGGGCATTGACCTGCTCACCATCAAACTTAGGCACGTATCCCGACCGGGAGGGAGGTGTGCGGGTGGTTGGAGGGCGCCACTGGTTGATTCTACGTCTTTTCTTTCCCTCTGTTGTTTCTGTCTGTCTGTCTTACTCCCCCCCCCCCCCCCCCCCCCAAACCACTAAATAACTTTATTGTGTCGATGTGCTTTTAAAACAAACTAACGTGGGTGGTTGGCGGGTGCTCTGGTGTGGTTTGCTTCTTCTTTCCTATCAAACATCTATCGTCTTTATCTCCCCTCTTTCTTTTTTTGTGTTTGTTACTCTCTTATAACACCTCTGGTCTTCGGCATTTATATATGACCTTATTGTGTTACAAGTACCGTAAAACTTTTACTAAAACTAAAAACATCTATCGTCTTTATCTCCACTTCTTTTTTATGTTTGTTACTCTCTTGTAACACCTCTAATCTTCTGGCGCTCATAATATGACCTTATGCAGTTGCGAGCGCCGTAAAACCTCTACTAAAACTAAAACTAAAACAGAAGAGAGGGGTAGAGGTAGAACTACAGGTATCTGTATGAGCAAGTGTCTACGCAGTATTACAAAGATTTCTACGGTCTTCCTATTTATTGGTCTCAACAACAGCAAATCTTTTGAGCCCCTTCTGCATGACAATCCCCACACTACTACTAACTCTGTCTTATTTTTGGTTTTTTTCTACTCCGCCTATTCAAGTCGAAACGTTAAAATGGATTTTGTGTAACTTACACAGACTTCCACATAAGTTAAGGACCACCTTGACAGACAGTCATGATTTTTTTAAAATCCGAAAAAAGACAGCAAGGAATGTTTCAAATTTCTTCGCTCTGACAGTGTTAATGGGTTACCAATGCGTACTACGAAGCTTCCTAAAGTGGCAAAACCACCTCTTGCAGCACGGAAATCGTCGGAGAATTTTAGCCGAATTTGCTGTTTTTTAAATCTGCTTTTGTGCGACATCACGGACACTCCTCAGTTAAACTTTCTGGTGCATGTCATAAACTGAAGTACGGTCTTGAACTGTGCTCACTTTGGTGACAATATAAGCCGCCGTTTGCACAAAATCCAGTATTGCATCAACATGCCACCAAGACGAAAGCTGAGAGACTTTGATCGGACTAGAGCTATGGCATGGCTGCAGGATGGAGTTGGATCCCGAGAAGCTGACGGGAGGCTTGCAGTGTCACACTCTGTCATTGTCCACTTGAGGCAGCACCATCGAGTCACTGGATCGGCCCAAGAACACCCACGTGCAGTCGACCCAAGAAGACCACTCAGATTGGTCCTTAACTTATATTGAAGTCTATTATCAATAACGCTGTGGGATCATCTGCTTGTGCTGAGCTATTTTACTGTGTTCCACATTGTCTTTCCCCCATGAGCCTCCTCAAAGAAATGTTTAAACTTTGATTGCCATTGACTTAATCAAAATTTGGCTCAAAATCATGGAATTTGAGTTGTAGGCATTTTTAGCTTCCTCAGCCTCTCCTACAACTATTTCAAGGCATAAGAACCCCCCAAAACCGTATTTTTTCCCATACCGGGCATGTTTGTAACCGCCATTTCCTCTTAAAGTCAGTATTTTATTTTTCTTTATCGGCCGTTTTCTCAAAATGCTACTTTTGTCTATACTTTTTTTAATAACTCCACCATTTTTCATCCAATGTTCATGAAATTTTCACAGAATGAAGAGAAGAGGTAATGCTAAAAATTTGTCTGTTGAATTTTTTATATATGGAATAGATTTTTGTTGGTGGTGTCTGGAGTGTGGATTTTCACGGATTTTTCGCAAACTTGAATGCTACCTCAGAAAAAAATTCATTAAAAATTTTGTAATTCGTTTAGGAAAAAAACAACAGACAAATTTTTAGATCTAATGTTTGTAAACACGCATGCAAAAAAACAATCAATTTCCATGAGTGATAAGTGCGGTATTCATTACGTAAGACATGTCAATAAAATCCAATATGGCGGCGTATCCATGGAAACGAACCTTTTTTCTCAAATTTGATTGCGGATTTCAAGACTCCTTACTATGCTTGTTATATGTGTGAAATGTGGTAAAATTCGGTCCAGTAATAAGCGAGATAGCCTCCAGGTGTAGCCCCCCCTTAAAGTCAATGAACTCACCTGCACTCATTTTGTTGACAACGGTGGGATGTTTAAAAATGAATGTGGAGTATACAGTTCAATTATGTGCCTTGTTGCTTTCTCTGTTGTTGCATGAACAGAGTCATTAATTTCTGTCTCGGCGTACCCTTTCTCTAATAATAGTAAAAGGCGTTGGCGTATATTATGAGATGCAAACAAAAGTTTGCTCTCGCAAAAAAAAATTAAAAAATAGGGCAAATGCAACACCTGTTGTGATTTTGTCCTGCTCAGTTATCAGAAAACAAAATATGCTTGTCGAAGACTCCTTCGGAATTTCTTTCAGCTATGCACTGGTAAAACCATGTGGGTACCTCGTTGGATCCTCGTCTGCTTCTACACATAAAGTAGAACCCCCCCCCCCCCCCCCTTTTTTTTTTTTGGTGGTAATCATATATTGTGAGGTTGCAAATTCCTTGTCATGAAGCTCAATCATTTCCGCATGAAATGTCTCAGAACAAAGATTCTCGGTGGGTGGTTGGCAGGTGCTCTGGTGTGGTTTGCTTCTTCTTTCCTATCAAACGTCTATCGTCCTTATCTCCTCTTCTTTTTTATGTTTGTTTCTCTCTTGTAACGCCTCTAATCTTCTGGCGCTCAATATGACCTTATGCAGCTGCGAGCGCCATAAAACCTCTACTTAAAAAAAAAAATGTTAATCAAGTACACCATAACTATTTACTATACTTCAGAAAATCACCCAAAAGTTACACGCCAGTGAATTTTTACGTAAAATAATCAGATTTACCAGATTTTTTGTTAAGTTGAAACACACACAAAAAGTTAGTTTGTTTTGTTGTCTTTTTGTGTTTTTTTTTTTTACCCCTTGTAAAATTTCATTTTTGGCATATATTACGTTTTTCTGTCATAAGATGGCTGTTGCGTTTGTTTTCGTCAGAAATTGGCGTGGGTGGTTGGCGGGTGCTCTGGCGTGGTTTGCTTCTTCTTTCTTA